CTGGGCTCATTTTGTACCCCCGGGGTTGTATTCTTCACATTTTAGAATACTTCTAGTACGAATATCTCTTTGAAACGTTCAGTATTTCTCAAAAAATCATTTTAACAGACTACTATGCAAAGCGTACATATCGGATTAACGAGTAATTTTCCTCTTTGGAAAGTGGTTGCACAGAGTTCCCCCACGTTGTACGGATACGATAGTAAAACACAATGTACGGAGAGGGTTAATTATTTTCTGAGTGTCTCTCTCTCTCTCTCTCTATATATATATATATATATATGTATGAATTTGTATTTTGTGTGTGTGTGAGTATTCCTATACACAAAAATTTCAAGTATTAGCATTGCTTTTACTTTGTATTTTTAATTTTGTTTTGGTCATTTGACTTATGCACAATAAAATTGAAAAAAAAAAAATTTTAAATTGATTATGTCTTGCCGTTCTTTTTTTTTTATTGTTCGACACTGGGGGCTCTTGTGGCCTAGAGGTTAAGGTGTTGGCCTCTCATTCTAAGGTCCCGGGTTAGAATCCGGGCATTGACCGAAAAATTTTCTTCTTTAAAATTGTCTCCTTTCACCTCCTTTCCTGCTCTCTGACAATGTTCTGTCGTCTGCTTTCGTCTACACTTTCAGCCCCCATCCCATCACCTTCTTTGCCCCCTCCTCTTGGCTCCTGACTCTTTCTGCAACCTTTCTACTGCTGCTCCTTGACTCCTTCTTACAGCTGTCTTTCCGCCACACCCTTTATCTTCTGGTAGGAAAGATCTACACTTAGCTTTCTCGGACAAGGGCGAAAAATCTCGGAGGTCCCATGTGCAAGCTGCGCACTTAAAGATCCTTAAACTTAAAGATCGCTTAGTGGTCTAAAATTGAGAGCAGGCTTCAGCCTCCACCCACACGGGCAAAATTCAAAATTTCCTACCCACAGAAAAAGTTTAGTGTGTCCAACACACTCATATGATCTACCAACAACAACAAAATTGTCCAACGCTGAAAAAGAAAAAAAAAAGAAAAGAAAAATGAAGTGGAACTGGCCAACGACTGTGTTGGCACAGTTGTAGTACTAAGTAGTAGTACATGTAGTCAAGTACAAGTCAACTTGGGGCCATCATCATTCACAAGGAGGACCTGTCTCTCACCATTGGCTTAAGCTCCCTTAAGTTTTTAAGTACGATTTGTATATTAGACCAACATATTGTCACTTATACGACCTCTGTATCGAAGTACCATAAATCTTTACTCAAACTCAAACAAGGCCTACAGCTCAATAACTTCCGATTTGGTCAAACGACCAATCAATTCTGGTGCTTTCATTCTTAAAAGTCACAAAATCTTTTTTTTTTCTTTCGTAGAAGTAATTCAGTTGTCCAAAACGTAGTAGCCATAACTATAATATGGTGGTAAAGATTAAAAAGTAAATGAAAGTAAATTTTGGAGCAATAGTAACAGATGGTACCTTTCGAGTATCTGCGTCCAACGACTGCCACATTTTCGATGTAACCTTTGAAACTTCGCCCAGATTTGGTTCACCCAGTTGACTCATAACCTGGGGCTGTGAAAGAAAATAAGTTACACATTGTAATGAAAGCTGAAAAGTTATGTTTGCACTATTGTCGATATATATAGCGGGCCAAATCTCATTATTACCATGAATAGTAATATTTCTCACAATTTTACAGACACTAGACACTAGCACTCTTCTTAAGGCTGATACTTGTGACGTCGGTGGCCTAGTGGTTAGGCTCTCAGACTCGCAACTGTAAGGTTGTGGGTTGGAATCCTGACAGGGGCCCGACATTGTGTCCTTGGGAAAGGCACTCTGCACAAATTTTCCTCACTTCACCCAGGTGGGAATGGGTACCCGGCTATAGAC